GGAAACTTTTTTTCAAGCAACCGTGGGTTTTTAAATTCATGTGAACAATCAGTTATGTTGATACTGTAGTTAATTAATATTTTTTCTTAACAGACTTTTTGTATTCTAATATATTTTATGTTTTTTTTTTTTTTTTTTAGTATATTTCTTTCATTTTTCTATTTGGTTTACATGACACTAAAATTCTTTTACAGTATTCTCCTGCTGCAGGAACTGGAAACACATACAAACTTTTAAAATATTCACGCATTTATAATCAGCACTTTTTAAAATTATGCGCCATTTTCTATTAATTTAAAAACCAAAACATGGTTTTTAAAATAATTCTATTAATTTAAAAACCATATTTTGGTTTGTAAATTCTTAAATTTACTAATTGAACTAAGTAAAAAATATTGAAATTCTTAAAAATGGCATACCTTTCTGTTTAGATGTTTTAAAGTATAAAATAGGTTGGAATTAATAACTTGAAATGCTTTCTACAATAATTGAAAGCCATTTCGTGCCACTAATTGCAAAATGGAGTGAATTTCTTCCTCAAATCCAAGCCAGTAAATAACACAGAACACGAAGAAATATTAAAATTAATTGAATAGGACATGGATTCATTAATTGAAGTTGTAGTACCTCCCTGAAATAAAAATTTCATAACCTCTACTTGATTAATTTTTGGTTGAGTTGCCAAGATGAACATTCTCATTTATCTTGTAAAGAGGGTGAAATAATGATGCCCTTTGTTACGCTGTTATAAGTGCAAAATTCTTTACTTTTAGATCTTGAATATTCAGTTATTATTTGATAGCTAACATCATTTTTCATTTTAAGCTATCCGCTTTTTTTCCATTCTTCGTTTTCATAGGTAATTCAATAAATTATGAAATTCTAATGTGCAACTTTTAACAGTTCGTATGTGAATAAACATCAGAATTTCTTTTCTTCTATTGATTTCATTATGCGGGTGAGCACTGTGCGCTTTTAAATTATCGCGTTATGTAATAGGATGGGCCATAAAAATACTTCAAAAATCTACCCTCAAATTTTAGATATTTAAAAAAATTCTGTCGTATATTAATTTTAAAGCTACTTTCATAAAAGCCAAGAGTAATACTTTTTTGCTTTTATAAAGTAAAGCAGTATAAAGTACAGTTATCAGTATAAAGTATACACTTTTATGGTATCAATTTTATAAATATCATTTGGGTTCGAATCTAAAGCTGTGATTTTTTTTCAGAAAGACATATATATGCTTATCCATTCGTTTAAAAATATTTTCTAACTATGTATTCTTATCTCTTGATTTTTACTTTGGGAAAGTATATTCAGTTAGTTTACCTGCAAGTTCATCTGTATTTAGGACACTATAAAAAATCTAGAACAGGAAGAAAAATGGAAATGATTAATTTAAAGGAAGCTTTAAATAAAGAGGATATTACAGTTTTTAAAATCAAGGGAAAGTAATTTATAGGATTTAAATTTTGATCTTAAAAGCCCATAAGCATAGGAGGGAAGTTCGAATACAGGGATTACATCAACGAAGAGTGACTGCATCTAAATTAGATAGAAAGAAACAACACAGAAAAGCATGGTAAGTGGAAAGGCCGAATGTAATTTGCAATTCCTTTTACAGCTCACAGAGCAATAAGTTTATACTAAGAGCAAAGTTTGGTTCTTTTGACATCTGAAAGTGAATGTAGCTTTATAGAGAATATAGCTTAATAGAGAATAGATAAAGTCTTGATTATCCGAACTTGTTAAAACGGCTATGACAGATGGTGGCTAAGGAAAAAGCCTGGAAAGGAAGCATATATGTTAGACACAAGATAGATCATCACAATAAGGGACCACGAGAAAGTTTTTTATTATGAATCTATACTAAAGAAGTTGAAATTTCAAAATTTAATTGATAGAATTAAAAATTTTTATAAACTAATTTTAGATGCAACAGAAAACTATCCTTTAGACATCAGAAACGTCTTTAGCGGCGTCTTTCTAAAATTTTTGTGTCATTAAGTTACGTTATGCGACTCTTCATATATGATCCGTTCGCCACAGGAAGTGCAAGATTGCCTTAACACTGTGCAAAAAAAACCCTTTAATTTGTTTTCTTCGGGTTCTTCAGTGTGTCCGATTCGCAGAGTGTTTTTTTTTTTTTTTTTTTTTTTTTTTTTTTTTTTTTTAAGTTTTTTAGTCAACTTGTTTTATTTCTCGAACTTTATCAATCTGCTATTGCTTAAACAACTGAGGGATATGAAGTAATAAACGCTTAATAATTTAATTTTTTTTATCTTCAATAATGTATCTAACTGACATAAATTAAAATGTATTTAGTTTTCAATAGAACCATTGCTTTTGGGAACATTTGTAAATTGTTCAAATTAATAAAATGATTTCTAACGGCGCATTTTTCCTCAGGCAGGATAATCTTTTAAACAATCAGTTCTTTTTTAACTAAAACTTACATATATATATACTTGATATCTATGCTACATATGGAAAAAACCACGAAAACGCTCATGCAGTCAACCCGTTCTCCGGGATTCGAACCCCGTGGAACTACCAGTGTTCAACGACTTTACCGCTTGACCGCTGGGGGGCCAAACAATTTTTGTTACTTAAGAAAGTAAAAATAATAGATAGGTAAATAAAAAATAAATAAAAAGTAAAAATAGGTTTAGGATTCAAAACTCTACAAATAATAATGATGAAATAGTTCTACTCCTTTCTAAAATTGTTAGATTCTATTTCTTTTTATAAATAATTCTTGTCTATTTGCATCTTAAAGATAAGTGACTGAAGTAAACGCAAATTATTTCCTATTCAACGCATTTCATCTGTCTGTATTAAGTATGTTACGATATTGAAAAATATTATCCTTTATTCATGATTTCACATTACGGTTTTTCTACCGTGTAAGAAATAATCAAAGATAACTATTGGAAATTGGGAATGTTATACAGTTTTAGAAAGATTCTTACATTGAGTCTCATTTTGAAAAAAAAAATATCGTTGTTCACTTATATGAAGAAAGTGAAACTATAAAGTTAAGTGTCATATATATATATAAAAAAAAGTTTAATGTCCGTATCATTCAGGAATGAAAGCAATAGAACGTAAAACACAGCCAAGAAAGGCCTCCATCGAGTGAGTTTAAAAAAGAAAAGTACTAGCTGTAAAGCATTCTGAAGTCTAAAGATACATAAAGTTGAATTTAATCCCGTCGTATCCAAGTTTAAATGTATGGTCTGATTTTAGAGCTTTTGTTCTTAATTCTTCAGTTTGGAAAAACTAGTCGAAGCGTTCTCAGTTTATCCAGGAGCTTTTTCCTCGCTTAAGCTTTCTAACCACAAGCTTAGTTTCTTCGATTTTTTTCTCTTCTTTATCCATGTGAAAAAAAGCACTTTTGTCTTTGTTTGAAACTTTAAAACCTGTGGCTTGATTCTGAAGGCGGGAAAAAAAAAAGAAACTGAGTGGATTTAATTTTTTATAAAATCGGAAATAACACCAGGTTAAAGGCTATATTCCTAAATTTAAGAAACTTTTCTAAAAGAAAAAAAAACTAAGTAAAATATTCTTGCAAATAATTTATGTATGAGATGACTGAGAAAATCAAGGCAATTCGCAAAATAGCTGTACTTTGTTTCGTAATATTATTTAAGTGCTGATTCTAGAAAAATCTTAGATATCGCTTTAACAAGCCAATTTAAACCTTCTTACTATTATTGTATAAGTGATATAAAACTGTGAATGAAACTACTGCTAAATATGATGCTATTAACTAAAATTAATGTGATGTAATTAACTTTAACTTAATAGGATGTAATCCACATTGTAATAACTTTGTTTATTGTAATAACCACATTGCAATAAATTTGTTTATTTAGACAAAGTGCAGTCTATGAAAAGAGACAAATATTTTTACACGTATTATAATTTCTCTTTTTTTAAGCACGCGAAAATGCTTAAAACTACAGTTCTTCCTTTCATTATATTCTTGATCACCGTACAATTTTATTGTTTTTACTATTAGTGTAACATGGCACCAATTATGGAAAAGGCGTGGTGAAATTTCAATGAAATTTAACCCTTTGCGGCACAGTGTGCCCGGTCTGGACACACCTAAAAATTTCCTTCTGTACGCACAGAAAAATTGAATGAAAGAGGATTTATAGGTTACTATAGGTTACTCTGAACCTTCTTTATTTATAGTGGATGGCAGCTCAACACAAACCAGTCCGTATATTTTAGCCATGTTTAGTTTTTTAAGACACTCATTTTTCAAAGAAATCTTCCAGATTTTTTTGGGGTATAAAAGGAATTGCTTCAAAAGAAATTTCTATGTTTTTTTTTCTATGCTAATCTCCTTATTCTATATTATTTTTAAATTTTTACCTTAAAATTTTGCCTAAAATCAAACGGCGAATCCTAGGTGTGCCCAGACCAGGCTCACCGATAATCTAGGACAACTGAGAGTCTGTATTCTTTGTTTCTCCGCATCTCATCGGTCAGTTCATTGACAACAGTGCTCCTTTCAGCACTCTTTTCGAAGCTCTATTCAATCAGTATGCCACTTTGGGCACACCCACAGAATTAAAACGATAAGTGCTATCTTCACAAAATTTTACTTGTGTACTCCTCTAGGCCTAATTAGACTGCTTATTTTTTTTTTTTTTTAATCAAAACTCTGACTTTAAAAGGGTAGCGTGCCGGAAAGGGTTAAACCATTAAAATTAGTGAAGATGCTACCAATCTGCCAGAATTATTAAGGAGCAAATCATATTTTATTTAATAATATAATCAACATAACATATAAAAAGTTTAAAATGGCTGATCACATTTTTCCATGCCATTGTTTATCGTTTTCAAAATTTCCATTGTTTATCGTTATGTTTCTACCAGTTAAATACACTTTAAAAAAATATTGCTGTTTAATGCAGTAATCAAAGCTTACTGTTGTATGTTTCAAGTTAATGCAAGGCTTAATGCTGCCTTATTCAGTATAAAACCGGGATTATACTACAACTGAAATTCCTCAGAAAAGGAATACATACTTATGTAGAACTGAAGATTTAAACACAAATTGATAATAGACATTCCAACCTTTATACACTTCTAGCCAACAAATTATCCAAATAATATCTTTTTATACATGCCGAAAAAGTAGAAATATGAAAATAGTTACGCAAAGCGTTTCGAAAAGTGTACGCAATTAAACATCTCTTAACAAATTATCTTTCATAGATCTATGTTTCTAGGTCAAAGGTTCTCAATCAGGCGGGAAATTTCCCTCTAGGGGGAATTCCGTAGTTTCAGAGGAGGAAATGCAAACGTAACTGAAACCATCAAAATCATTAAAATTGAATGTGAATAATACACCAAAAAATTTTTAAATTGAGATAATTAATTTGCAGTGTGATATAAACTTTATTCATGGGTTTTTTTAAATATAATTACGCTCAGACTCGAATTTTTGCACTAAGAATAATCGCTTTGTTTGAAAATACATTTATAAGAGAATAACCTCTTTCACGGTTTCAGATTCACAAGGAAAAAAACCAAATTGGCCGATGATCATCTAAAATCCATAAGGAAGATAATTTCTTGCAGTTTTTCTCCAACATTGTAAAATTTATCAGAATCGAAACTCCGTCGAGTGCTAATCTGCAATAGAAAAATAAAGCAGTTTTTAATTGTTTACATACAAATATATTCATTTTCATTTATTTACCAAAGAAAAATTTAATAAAGAAGAGAAAGAATACACCTTTAAATAATAATGATAAAGATTAATAATATGGATAAAGGTTGCCGTTATTTATTAAGTTTTATCACCCTTGGAAAATTTAGGAAGTTTTCGTGGTTTGTTTATTTAGTTTAATTTAAAGTAAGTAATTCTATGGTTAATTAAACATCTTAGAATTATTCAAAATAAATGTCAGTCTGTCAATATCTTTGAATTGCAAAGTGTAACTAATAAAATGTCTTGCAGTTACTCAATTTCAGACAGAAAATAAATAAAAAGTTTAATATTTTCGTTATGCATTAATATTATAAGTGTTTATGTATCATTTAATTAATGTTTATTAAGCCCAATGTAAAACTTAGTTAAAGTATTTTCACTTCCTAGTAGGAAGAGTTGTAATTGCGAAAAGTTTCGGTTATTAGATGTTAAGAGAATTATCTGTTCTGAGCGCTCTCGAATCCATTTTGACTACTTTACTGCATGACGTCTGTACGTGACGTCTGTACGTACGTACAGAATAAATGACTCTTTACTCCAAAATGAATTGTAAAATGGATTCAATATGTATTGTTTCGTTACGTCTGTACGTACGTTTGTATCTGGCATAACTCAAAAAACGCTTAGTCGTAGAACGTTGAAAGTTTGTATATGGGACTGCTATAATATCTAATTGCGCATGTCCCTTTTTTATTGCAATCAGCAGCACCAAAGGCATATATATATATATATATATATATATCCCTACCCGGCTTAAAAGTCCATATCCGGCACTTATTTTCGCAATCGTTCGTAGTAATCATACGCTTCTAACTACAGAAGTGTTCTAAATTACGAAAATATTCATGTTGGCTATGTCAAATTAAAAAAATAATAATAATTTTGGACGGATAACGAAGTATTATTTTGTTGCGATGTTCCAGTTCCTATACTTATATTTTAGAAAGTTTTATTTTCATTATGAAAAATTAATTTATAAGGAGTTTTCCCGTATAATAAAAATTGACCTATATATTTAATTTCCAAATTTGTAACTTTTGATGACAACCTTTAACTCACTTTGAGGAATCGGTTATTGAAGTTAGAATATGCAATTTTATACAAAATTAGGAGGTTTCTTCCTCTTACATAGCATAAATAAATTAAAGATAATAATTAGACTAAAACCATAAACAAAGGTTTCTTTTGAAAGAATGATTTATTAGACTTCTATTTATTTATTTGCATTATGATTATTTTTAATTTTATAAATGTAAACAAGTTATCAGACACATCTAATTGTCCAAATGTTCAATTTTAATGAATGCGAAGCCTGCACTCAGTGTACTGGTGCAGTGGTTTTTGAAAGTTTGGTATAAAATTGTTTAACTTAATTTTTAAATCACTTCTTTCGAAAATATTCAGCCCGTTTCTTGTTCTCATATCTGGTTAATGATTTAATTAAAGCTTACTTTCGCTGGGTAAGAAGAGAGAAATGTCAAAAATGTTGGTTCGGTAACAATTTTAATTTTTGGATATTTCTCTCGGATGCCTTTTAAATTCCGAAACTTGGTGTTTTCATGTGTTTTGAACAAGACTTGACTTACTTATATGATAAAGCTTTATATCAATAAATAATATGTAATAAGGCGGCATAGAGATTCTTTGTCTAGGATGAGTGATTTCAGAGCGCAATAATTTTCATCAGTGGTGAAATCCTGTGACTTTGTTAATGATTCCGGTTGCAGCCTCGAAGGTCACTCCAGTGAACAAAAAGGTAAAAGAAGTCTTTTCCATCAAGATCAGGAGACGGACCTTTTGTCATGTATGAGTGAAAGAATCATTCCCTCCTAGGAGTTCAGCGCAAGTAAACACATATATAAAGTGGTTTCCTGAGAAGAAAAACTTTCCTGTTTAGAGCTATGGGCATATTGGCCTGCTAAGAACGATCATTCCTCATGTATAATGCGATACAGCATTTTTTCTGTAACAAAATTCTGAAATTACGGGACTAAATATACCCAAGTCCCATATTGTCAAAATATGCAACTGTTAAGGTTTTCATCTTATTAAAATTCATCTTATTGTTAAAACTTGAGTTAGAAGTTCATTTCAACCCTGTGTCACAACTCAATTTTGCGTAGCGGTTTCGGCCACTACACCACAAATAATTACGTATTTTATAAACAAATTTTGTAATTAATGGGACTTTGACTATGCCAATCAACAGCCGGTACATATTCAGCTATCCATTCCCAATCGACTTCTTGATCATCACAGATTCCTTTTAAAATTTTATTGACCCCCAAGGTTGTCCGTACCGATGACGTTGGAAACCCTGCCTTAATCAAAGCACTTTCTTATTTCTCTGTTGCACAATTTAAGTTTGACTGCTACAAGGCACAAACCATTTTCCATGCTTTAGAGATGAAATTATGATGTTTCCGAAAAGTAGAATTTATAATTAACAGTGTGCATAAAATTAGATGCTTTTACAATTGATCGCAAAGTAAAGCAGACATCTTCTGTGTACTCCATAACAGACAGAAAACGCTTCTCAGACAACGCATCAAAATAAGTGTCTTCCTAATCCGTGTAGACATCCCTAAGCTGTACCTCAAATTAACATTTTAAACTCCTTAACAGAGAACATTTCGCACAAAAGACACGATATAAATTGTGCGAAAGCTTTATTCTTGATTTATTTTTGAGACTCGTACCATTTAAAATCATCGTTACAATCACGCAAACCATAAATCAGAAAATTGTAAAGTTCCTTCTATTAGCGCAATTATGTCCTCACCAAAATATTGAAAATAAAATACGCAGAGTTCATTTCTGCCGGTCTGAACACTTTTATAGAGAATTAAATAAAAAGAAGCAACTGCGAAATTCCGCTTATTGAAAAAAGATACTAAGAAAAACCCAAGTGTTCCTATTTTATTGCCCAGATAATAATGACGGGAGAAGGCTCTCCTAAGGGTAGGATTAACGGGCTATCTTATTTTACGTAATAGCTCCCGACAGGGCTGCCATATTTCAATCATTTACCGTCGCCAAGTTAAAATATCGTGCTTTCCATATTGCTTCCTTGGCGAGTTTGGCGCACTCTTATGATAAGTTTTACCAAAACTAAATGCTAAATTAAAAATGCTAAGAAGCAGTATTAATAAAACTTAACAGAATATTGAACATACCTAAATTTTATGAAAAAGATTATATTGCTTTAACAAGTAAAATAAAAGATTTTTAAAGGCAAATGTTGGAAAGCAATAACATTAAATACATACCATATTGTCTTTTCAGTACAACACACTTTTTAGCTTGAAGATTTTTCTTTTTCTCGTAATTTTAAATTGTACCTTTATCTTTTAAAACATTAAATTTTAAGTTTTCTTAATGATTTTGTTACTGTCAATGACATGATACAGAAGCTGTTTCAAATGACGTTTTTAATGAGGCTCAAATACTTACACCAGAGTTTCTCAAACCTTCTTCATGCGGAAACCACTATCATAAAATAAAATGCTCTGCGGACCATTTTTTCCTGTTCTAAAGCATTTTTTAGCATATGTTACTACCAGGATACGTATGTTTGCAAAACGCAACTAATTAAAATTAATTTAATATAAAATTAGAATTACTGAATTGAGTTCACAGAAGAAAAGTTATATTTGTTTTTTATAATTCAAGGCTATAGGAGTTTGGATAATCTTTATCTTATTAACTAAAAAATTAAATAAATATTCGGGCACATTAATGTCACGGATAAGCCTTCCAATTCTTGCACAACTGTTCTATGTTTGGATAGATGCTAGTAAGCTTTAGTCTGAGATCGACACATACACCAAATTGATTTATGTTCTCTTGTTGTTATTTGAGTTAGTAAATAAAATTCTCTGGCACAGATATGTGGAAGTAAACTAAATTATAATTTCTGAAGCAACATTGTGCAGTATCCAATATTCAACTGTAATAATTGAAATATCATTCTAAATAAAGTGTGATTAGAGAGTTTAATTAATTAACTGCTCTCTTTCTTTCAATTACAATTTGTTAGTTTCAGTACTGAGATTGAAAAATCAAGAGCAAATGAAAATTCATTGCATTTACCACTTCTAAAATTTCAAAATAAGTTTCCAGTTGTGACCGCAGAGTTTTTTATCATTCGATAATTCTTGTCGGATAACGATATACTTTCCTACTAGAAAGATTCAAAAGATGGAAATGGTGAAACTTTCTGTGTTTATTCAACTAGCCCACAAATATTTTTACTTTCAAACCTTTTTATTTTCTTATTTGCACAAACAGCACTCAAACATTTATCTTATAGACGGAGATAAGGTCATTCAGTTTTAAGAAAGCACCTGGAAAATATGCTAATTTACTTAGCCCCATGTTATCAGCAAGAAATGGTGTAAAATCTTATTAATTTCATATAAAACTATCAGGATACTTTGAAAATCTAGGAGGATCACAAGGACAATCTTCGAGGACCAATTGTGATCCACGGAATTTGTGTTTTGAGGATGCTAATTTAGAGGCACATATTTTATCTCTCCAAAAGAATATGCTTCTTTTCTTTTATGAAAAATCTATAAATTCCTCCCATAGTTTCATATTATTAAAAAAATCATTGTGTAAAAGTTATCTGATAACGTATATATGAACTATTGCCAAAAATGATTTCTAAATGTGTAATTTAAGAACAAATACCAAAAAATTCAAGATGAAGAAAAATGCTTGAACAAACTTGTTTCTTTCTACTCAAGTTTGAATAAAATGAAGCAAAATAAATTATAATATCTCAAAATTACTATAACTGCAACGAACTGTTAACGTGAATGTTGCTGTTTCAACTAAAACTTCTCTAATTTCTGCATAAGATTTAAAATACATTGCACGCACTTTCATGTTTTCATAATATGGTGGTTAGAAATCA